AAAGCATGTAAAGCAAATTTATGAAAACAGTTGCTTATATGGGGTGCTATGTCATTATTTGTCCCATATACAGTATACTGTATGTATGCATACTGTAAACATTGTTTTTTATATATATATATAAATATATTTATATATATATATATATATATATATATATATATATATATATAGTCTTTTTAATAGTTTTTCCATGCATTTTTTTAAAATTGTGTAGTACTAACAAAGTGTTGTTAAAGGCTATTTTTTTTTATTAAAATAACAAACATGTTGTACTTACCTGCTCTGTATTGCCCTGCATCTCCTCTTCTGGGGTTTCCTTACTGGCAATGTCCTCTCTCCTCCTCTGCAGTGTCTTCTCTCATAGCCAGTGCTTGCTATGGGGGCAGATGGGCTGGCTTGCTCCCAAGCCAGGCTGTGTGTGTCTATAGACACACATAACATGGCTCTGCCCTGCTCCCTCACTGGATTTGATTAACAGCAGCAGGAGCCAATAGCTCCCGCTACTACCTCTTAGCCAGTGAAGAGAGAGAGTTCAGCAATGCTGCTCTCAGGCACTGGATAGAGATCGGGCTTAGGAAAGTATTTGGGGGGCTGTGGGGCAACTTATCTTGGAAGGTTTATTACCTTAATGCAGAGAATGCATTAAGTTAAAAAAAAAAAACTTTTATTTTTTACAACCACTTTAATTTGGGCATTAGCCTATGTTAATGTATGACATGGTATAATATAGGTGTTCTTTCTTATAGAATTTATGCAGTTTTCAAGAGCATTTTTTCCTCCTTCATTCAGTTCTCTGTGTTTTATATATGCAACTTATTGGAAAGGCTTATGTGGTGGTGCTGAATATTTATGAAAAGATATTTTGGCATGCCAAATTTATTGTCAGCCTCCCTAGATACATATAAACATATGCCCCCTGAGACCACATGACAAAGCACGATTATGATAAATGGCCTCAGAGTTCCTATGACATTTGCATCTTGCTTTTTTTTAGTAAAACGGTTATACAGTGAATATTTTTTCCTATAGAATATATCCATGGAATGTAGAGTTTTCTGCTTTACCTGTCCCCTCTGGCCTCTAATCCTTAGTAATAACCCAACAGGAAATTCCTTCTCCATAGTACATTTTTCCTGTTGTTAACAGAAGGTTACAAACTTTGCTGGTTGAGAATCATAGGTTAACAGTCCCTACTTAACTGACACTTTTAGCTTTTATTTCTGTAAAATTTGGCCAAAGGGTTTGGAAATACAGATTACACTATCCTGCTGAGTAGAGGTCCCTCCAAATGGAGAGTTCTATCAGTTTTTTTTTTTCTCCAAAAATACTTTTATTAGAAGAAGAAAGGCATAACAAAGTACACATAATTATGGATCACAGTCCGAACATAGACACAACATGTATCCTCCCGTGTCCCAGACGGGTCATGGGTTTAAACTGCAATACAAATCGAGGTGGGATATAACATTATATCAAGTGTATATTGCAAACCAGTAGATACAAAGAGTATAATAGATAAGTCGATATAGGTATATTGAATACTGACCTACGTATGTGTGAGCTCATATGTTAAGGGAATGTGGAGTGTTAGGTAAGGATAGCACATGATGGTGTGTGTTATGATTTGTGTGTCCATATCAGGAGCGTGTGAGCTACGTGAAATTAGTCACACCTGTATGAGAGATTAAATGCTCTATTTTATTGGGGATATATGTATAATGAAGGCATATAAAAGGTGTGAGATAAAGAGAAGTCAGAAAGGAAAATAGTTAGAGAAGGAAATGTAGAGTGAGGTAATAGCGGGGGGGGGGGGGGGATATGAGAAAGAGAAAAAAAAAGGGGAGGGTTGGGGAATGGGTAAGGGGATATAGAATGTGTAAATGCGGATAAAATAGATCACATCATTTTGTACAAGCCGAGCCGGGGTTCTATCAGTTTTTAAGGTCACGGGCATAATAAAATGCACTTTGTTGTTTTGTATTTTCTTTGTATTTTACCATAACATCTACAAATAAAATGAGTTCATTAGTTAGAAATGGATGTGAGTGTATATCTATGTACATACATACAATATTTGTAAATGACCAGCTGGGTGAGCTGCATGTGTCAAAGACTAGGAGAAAGCCTAATGTACCCAGGTACCATTTGAGACATGTTCAGCAAACATTACTGACATTCTGGTGCCAATATTGAAACCAGATTGAGGTTAATGGGAGCTGAATGTTATAAAAAATAAAGACCATTTTCTAGGCTAATAGACAAGGTATTGTCATACAAATGATATGAGGAGCTGGGTACTGCCCTGGGAAACATGCACCAAAACAAAAACATGTAAAAATACCTTTTAGTAAAGTGTCATGTATAAATACAAAGTCTTGGAAATTCAAGCCGACTGGAAAACAATGATAATTTTATTAACCACTTGACCTCCAGAAGATGCTTCTGCACGGTACAGGGAAGCTTCAGCGCGTGTTTCCCCCCCTTCTTGACCAGGCCATTTTTTGCAATACGGCGCAGTGGTACAGCTACTTTAACTGACAATTGCATGGTCAACACTGTACCCAAATGAAATGTATGTCCTTTTTTCTTCTGGGGTCTGAGGGAGGTACACCAGAAAACTGGAATGCTCTCAGAGGAGAGACTATTTTGTCCTTATCTGTACATAGTTGCTAAGGTGTGTATACTCAAGTTTGCAGTGCCCTTGGGGTCCCATGCATCTCTCAAACCCCATCCAAGTTCAAAACCCCTTAATAGAACATTAAACCAAGATCGAGGACTTTACAAGAAAAAGAGTAATAAGGCACGGCTCAAAAGTTTGGAATTTTAAAGGTGTAAAGTTATAACACAAAAATAAAATATTTAAAAGAGAGAGATTTTATTTTAGTGTCATGACTTTGCACCTTTAAAGTCCCAAACCCTTGAGGAATGCCTTGTTACTCCTTTTCTTGTAAATTTAATGTGAGGGATATTGTGCTAGGATCCAAAACTCAGCGACTCCTAAGGGGGTAGTGTTACACAATATTAGGCTCCTGTGGACTGCCAGTGTAGCTGTCTGGCCATACCTCTGATACAGGCAGACAGTTACTTCAGTCCAGGAAGAATCAATGAACTATGAGGATGCTCACCAGTGCCCTTGTAGTTCATTAAGAACTACAAGCTGTCAGCTGCAAAGGCTGATGGTACTTGTAGTCTATTCATTCACAGACCACTAACCACACATGGCTGTGCTATTTTCAAATTGTGACATCGGGTTCGGGAAGAAGATCTCTGACCCACTGTCACAGGGAAGGGGAGGATCTGGGAAAGAGCTGCAGGAGCAGGAACATGTTACATGTTCCACCCTAAAAACATGTAATATGTTCCTGAAGGTGAACTTAACCCTTAAGGGCTTTGGTAGTATTAAAGCTATTGTTCGTAGGCACTGCAGTCCTAAAATGATAACAGTGTTGCTGAGTTTCTGTTGTGAAAGCAGTGAAAAAAAATAAATTGACTGGATATGTTTTAAGTCATAGTCTAACAAAGTGATTATGGTTGTCCAACCAGCTGAAATTTCCAAGACTTTCTATTTATGCGTGGCACACCTCTTCATAGATTTTTTTTTTCTTTTGCTGTCTGGTTCTTGGAGGATTTTACCTTACTTTCTGTTTCTGTCGTTGCTTAAGGAAAATCTCTGCAATCTCAGAAATTAAAACGTGAGAAAACCTGATCCATCCCCAACCTACCCAAAACTTTAAAAAGATAAATGTTATGGTTTACACCCCATACTGTTAACTTTTCCATTCCTGCTGAGATTTCTGAGTAGACAGCAGTGGAAATGTGACAATTCTAACACTAACAAAGAGAACTCTGATTTGATCTAGGGGCTAACAAAACCGCTCCCAGACGATAACATCTTTTGAACACTGAACAATTTTGTGAAAATATGTTATGTTAATTAAATAAATGCTGCATGCCCAAGTACATGATTCCCTTTGGTGGCTGTTTCCTTTTAAAGAATTATAACACAAGATCGTGATACTGTTAGGCATGTTTAAAAATGCTTACAGTAGAAATAAAACTAAAACTGTGCAAAATAATTTACTGTGGTTTTCTCTTTGACATCCGTCATGCTTTCCATTGCAGCAATAATTTAGCAAGTGACAGATTAAAAAAAAAATCATAATATATTTCTTCCAAGGTCCTTCTTAAATCATTACATTGCAATTAATCACTTGTTCTTTTCAGCTGTCATTTAATGCATTCAGTTTTGCCCATGCATATTTCATAATTATACATTAGTGTTTTTCAGTCTATTTGTGTCTAAATGACAGATATACAAGTCAGTAATTATGCTGGTGCTGCTCCTTAAATGGCACTGTTCATGCTTTCACATGCAGGAAGGAGAAGTTGGGAACTGCCAGAAATTAGAGACTTTTTTTCTTATTATGTGTAGGTATTTGCTTTAGTCTGTCATTTGACAGTATCTGCCTTGGGATGTGACTTGTCATGTATACCATAAAAAACCTTAGTGCTTGAATTAAATTTGACCTGTCAATAGATATTTTTTTCCTGATAGGTGCGGCAAGCTAAAGCTGGCCAAAGATAATTTGAATCTCAGTCGGTACAGCAGGAACCAGTTGAGATTCGATCCATGTATGTGCAGGCTGGTTGTACTGAAGTTGATCCTTTGATTGACTTTAGTACAACTATTCTGTCAGATTTTTGTTGCATGCAATTACTGGCTACATCTATAGCTGCTAGCAGTAAGCATTGTGTTCTGCCGGCAAGGAAGGCTTCCCACCTGCAGAACACAAAAACGCTGCCAGAGAGATTCCATCATCAACTCTGACTGTGTTGATGGGGGAATCAAAATATTTTTTTTCCTGCAACCAGTGGCTGCAGGAAAGAATATCAAATTGTTTATGGCTTGTCTTAGATGTATGACACTGTATTGCTGCCAGGTATTTGTTGCCTCCCACAAAGAGCAGAGTACTCCCCCAGGGGCGAACTGACAACTCATGGGGCCCCCGGGCAATAGGGGATCATGGGGCCCCTGTGTCCTTGCCCAAACTCAAAAAGCCTATGAAAAAGGTACCAGGGGCATCTCATGGGGCCCCTACTGACCCTGGCCCTCGGGCAGTGCCCGAGTTTCCAATGGTCAGTCCGCCCCTGTACTCCCCTGATAATGACTTCATCTGCTCTTCTCTCTAAAAAGACAGTGACACCTTTGTTTAAGCATTTTATAAGGCCATCTACTGCCTTGACTGAGATGATGGTTTAGAGATGGCACAATCTTGTAAATACATGTGCCTGCTTGTTCATGAATGTCAGACACAGATCAGGCCATTTTTGTAGACTCTCTCTTTGTGACTTGCTACAAAGTTTCAGTATATGGACTGAAGCTCAAGCACACCTTTTTTTCTTTGCAATCATTTTTATTGAGTTTTTCCATAAAAATACACACAAACAGTATCAAGACTGTGAATAGCAGAAAACATTGAAAAATTGGAAAGCACACCTTTTTTAATGATAAAAGGTGGAACTTTTTAAAAAAAACTTAATAGTGTTCATGTATATTGTGATATGTCAATAATTTATTCCTGCAGAATTTTACAGATACTGACAGACCAACTTTACAGCTCTGGAAAGTTTTACCCCCTTCATGATCAGGAGCTACTTTAACTGGTAATTGCACAGTCATGCAATGCTGTATCCAAACAAAACTGAAATCATTTTTTTCCACACAAATAGAGCTTTCTTTTGGTGGTATTTGATCACCACTTTTTATTTTTTATGATATAAACAAGAATTTTTGAAAAAAAAATATATTTGTACTTTCTGAGATAAAACATATCAAATAAAAAAATTAAAAAAATCAAATGTCTTCATAAATTTTATATGTTTTCTGCTAAATGTCTGATAAAAAAATCCCAGTAAGTGTATATTGATTGGTTTGCATGACAATTATACTGTAGCACCTACAAACTATGGATATATATACTGGAATTTTTTTATATTCTATTAATGGCGGTGATCAGCAACTTATAATGGTACTGCAGGAGTGTGGTGGGAAATCTGACACTGGTGCTTACTAACTGCAGCTGACATCACCAGTAACATTAATACAGTGATCAGTAATAATATTATACACTGTCACTGTATTAATGATCCTGGCTGGGAAGGGGTTAATATCTAGGGTGATCAAGAAGTAAATGTGCTCCTAACTATGTAAAAAGTGTGCTGATTTTACCAAATAATCTCTAAGTCTGTCATCCCTGCTTTGCAGAGGTGAGAAACTCAAGAGATTGCTCCCTCTGTACAGAGCTCTGTGGTGTTTACTAACACAAAGCTCTGGGCTATGATTGTACACAGCCGATCAGCAGGTCCCAGCCGTGAATCATTGACTGGGACCAGGGGCGGACTGACAACTCATGGGGCCCCCAGGCAATAGGTCATCATGGGGCCCCTGTGTCCTTGCCCAAACTCAAAAAAGCCTATGAAAAAGGTGCCAGGGACATCTCATGGGGCCCCCCTACTGACCCCGGGCCCTCAGGCAGTTTCCAAATGGTCAGTCTGCCTCTGACTGGGACATACTGACAGGCTCCCACTGTGTACAATCACAGTAAGTGCCAGCGGGGGGGGGGGGGGGGGGGTGGAACACCTGAAACCTGGAAGTGGGCAGCGATGTACCTATACATTGCTTTGCCTACAGTGGCTGCATTTCTTCAGTACAATGCGGGTGGTTGGTAGTAAACTGTTTTGTTACAATTTTTTTTTTTACAATAATAAAATGCACATGATTTTGCAGGTAAACAAAATTTGCATTTATAATTTTTCTACACTTGTCTGCAGAGCATTGTGCCCTTGATCAGTGGATCCTGAGTATAATGTCAGGTTCCTGCAGATATTGCATACATACAAGCATACAGTTACTCAGCTGCAGGAACTGTCAGTGAACTATGGGTGCTAATCAGCACCCTGGTAGTTCACTGAGGACTACAAGCCATCAGTGGTGGTGGCAGATAGGACTTGTAGCTTTCTCATTCATAGTGTTCTGTGAATGAATGCCATGACTGTGCTGCCATGCTGTTTTGGAAATTTGACAATGGGTTCAAGGAGAAGAACCCCATCCTGCTGTCACAAAGAAGGTGGGAATCAGGGGGTGAGGGGGAGGATAATGAACATGGTAATGTTACATCCTAAATACCAGTGTAACATGTAACATGTTCAGAATGTGAACATATACTTTAGTCTACTCTATTCTGCAGCTACTATATTAGTCTTGTAGTGTTATAGGACAATCAAAAAATATACTGTATACACCCTGTTCCAGATTATTATGCAAATTATATTTTTCTCATTTACCTAAATAATTGATGTAAATAACAGTCAGCATAATTCTCATGTTATCAACTATTAATAGTACAATTCAAATTTTATTGAACAAACCTCCTAATGATAACAGTATTTTTTTAAACATAAAAAAACTTACAATGCACTGTTCCAAATTATTACTCACAGTAAGTTTTAAAACACTTTATAGGTTGTAAAGAACTGAAAATTGTCATTTGTTGTGTTTGCAGCATATTTACTGAAATCAAAAGCTATTTCAATCAAACTTTTAACAACATTTTAACTTTTTAAACATTTTAACAGGTCTTGTTACATTTTAACATAGGACCCCTTATTTGATAGCAGCTTCACAAGTCTTGCATCCATTGAACTTGTGAGTTTTTGGACAGTTTCTGCTTGAATTTGTTTGCAAGATGTCAGAATAGCCTCCCAGAGCTGCTGTTTGGATGTAAACTTCCTCCCACCCTCAGATCTTTTGCTTGAGGATGCTCCAAAGGTTCTCAATAGGATTGAGGTCAGGGGAGGATGGAGGCCACACCATGACTTTCTCTCCTTTAATCCTCATAGCAGCCATTGATGCAGAGGTATTCTTTGCAGCATGGGATGGTGCATTGTCATGCATGAAGATGATTTTATTTCGGAAAACTGTACCAGGGAAGAAAGTGGTCAGTCATAAACTCCACATACTTTGCAGAGGTCATCTTTACACCTTCGGGACCCTACCAGCCGACCAGCTCTGTTCCCATGATTCCAGCCCAAAACATGACTCCACCACCACCTTGCTGACGTTGCAGCCTTGTTGGAACAGGGTGGCCATCCACCAACTATCCACTACTCCATCCATCTGGGCCATCCAGGGTTGCACGGCACTCATCAGTGAACAGGACTGTTTGAAAATTAGTCTTCATGTATTTTTCTGCTGAATGCAGCCATTTCTGCTTGTGAGCATTGGTTAGTGGTGGCCGAATAAAAGGTTTATGCAAAGTTGCAAGACTCTGGAGGACTCTACACCTTGATGTCCGTGGGACTCCAGAGGCACCAGCAGCTTCAAATATCTGTTTGCTGCTATGTAATGATATTTTAGCAGTTGCTCTCTTGATCCGATGCATGGATCTGGCAGAAATCGTCCTCAATGTGCCTTTATCTGCACGAAGCTGTGTGCTCTGAATCAGCCACAAATCTCTTAATAGTGCGATGATCACGCTTAAGTTTTCATGAAATATCGAATGTTTTCATACCTCGTCCAAGGCATTGAACTATTTCACTCTTTTCAGCAGCAGAGAGATTCTTTTTCTTCCCCATATTGCTTGAAAATGGTGCTCTGCTTAATAATGTGGAACACCGTCCTTTAGTAGTTTTTCCTTAAATTGGGCTCACCTGCCAATCTAATTATCACAGGTGTCCGAGATTATTTTCAGTGATCAAAAGGGCCCTGAGACACAATGCGATCCATGAGTTAAACTGAAAAACAAAATGTTCAGTTATAAAACTACATTGAATAATTACTTTCCTGTGCCTGTCTTTTGGTTTGGGATTTACCATTCTGAAAAAAAACATCATAAAGATTTTTTTTATTATAATAGGAAGTGACACTTGCCTCAGACAAGGTGTAAATCCAGTAAGAAAACAACCATCCAAGTGATCAATTTCCACATCTTTAAAAATGCCATGACTGGAAACTTTGCATCACCTACATCTTACAAAAAGCTCATTCTAATTATTCACTAGTTTTTTTTTTTTCCTGGTTCGGTTCAAGTTCTTAATGAATTATTTGCCAATTAAAGTAATATCAAAGGCTCAGACTGTTTTTTTTTTACCTCAGTGCATAGATGGCATTAAGGGAAAAAAACACCCCAGCGGTTATGCTCCCCCACCATTCCAAACACTTACCTGCTCACCATCCCTGGGTCCTCCACAATCCATGCTATTCTCTTGAACTTACTGGTTGTAGAGGAGAGGTGAGGGTAGGGGAGCCAAAGACTCTTGTCAAAAGCTGGGAGAGGGGAGCAGGTGCATTACTTTCAGGGCTGTGTGTTTTTCAATGAATGTACACAGCCAACTAAAATAGTAAAAAAATGATTTTAGTGTCAATTTAAGTGCAAAATGACAGTGTCTTTGTAAAGCAAAATCCCCTTCCCCTACCCTGACCACTTTTTTTTCCTCACTTCTCCAGCACTCCCACCCAATATTTCTTCTGTGGCCACCACTACAAAACACTTGTGGAATGTCTAGGCATGAGAGATTGTATGACTTTCTCCAGTGATGCACTGCTTAGGCCTAGCAGCCAATTGCTAGATTCAAGTTGCGTGATAGAGGGGAGAGTGAAGTCCCCGCTCCTTCGGAGCTCCAACACTGGGTTATTTAGTTCAGTAAGAATGGAAAGGAGAGATTTGGAGCACTAGGGAATAAAAGTTCACTGTGAGACTGAAATCCTTATGGTGAAAATAATAAAATAAAAGTCCATGTTGATTGTCCACATCAATAATCATTCAAGCATACTCAACAGCTACCCAGTCCAAGGAGTAAGAAGCAACTCTAAAAATGTAAGCAAAAGGAGGGGAGGAGGACAATCGCCTACTAAGTGTAGCAATGAGTAAAGGCTGTATTGAAACAAAAGATGATCAGCGGGATTGCAGTTTCCTCCTCCATCAGGTGGACCAAGACTGGATGATGGACAACGGTGCACTAGAGCTGTTAAGCGATCTCATACTTGTTTTATGAGAGTGCATACTTTTGTGTCAATACAGTCTTTACTCTTTGCTACAAAGCTCTACTGAGCAGGGCCCTCTGATTCCTTCTGTATTGAATTGTATTGTAACTGTACTGTCTGCCTTTATGTTGTAAAGCACTACACAAACTGTTGGCGCTATATAAATCTTGTATATTAATAATAATACACTTAGCAGGCGCTTGTAACTCTCCCCTCCTTGGTTCAGTAAGAAGCACAATTTTAAATGGACACAAATACCTTCTATAAAAGGGAAATATGTATATTCTATATTGTATATACTACTGTATATACGTGTCTTTGGTAGAAAAAAAAATCCCAATAAACGTATATTAATCAGTTTGTGCAAATATTATTGTGTCAACAAACTATGATATACATATATACACCTGTGTGTGTATATATATATATATATATACAAACACATATATATGTGTGTGTGTATATATACAGTATATATATATATATCTGTGTGTGTGTGTGTGTATATGTATATATATATATATATATATATATATATATATATGTACTGGAATTTACACAGCTATGACGATATATACTGGTAATAGAGGTGATCAGTGACTTATAGTGGGACTGTGATAGTGTGACAGCCAGTCTGGCACTAGCTGACACTGGCTGGGAGGGACACTACCTGACTAATTTGACACTGACATCAATGGTGACAATTATACAGTGATCAGTGCTAATACTGTACACTGTCACACTGGCTGGGAAGGGTTAACATCAATGGGCAATCAAGGGGTTAACTGTGTGCCTAACAATGTGTAATGTGTGTAATATGTGCTGATTTTACTAATAGATGTGGCTGTTTTTTCTCCCTGCGTAGATGAGTGTTAATCCACTATACTATAATATATCACCCCTTAAAAATATTTGAATGAATGTCTAATACTCATATTTTACAACCAAATTTATTCTTGGCTAAATGACTCATTGCACTCTGTAAGAAAATGCCTTCTAATAGCAGTCATCCCAGTTTACTAAAACATCTAATGTCATTAGGAGGTTGATTGTTTTTTAATTATTTTATAGTTTAACGCATGTTTAATAATGTCTATGGAGCTTTGAATAGCATGCGGCAAATAGTTTTACTGCAAGATGCAAGCCACTTTAAAATTTGCTTTCAAAGCAAAGGACCATGTAACACCTGCACAGCTTTTGCCTGTGTTCCATTTTTTTAAATATACACTGTTGTAATTATACATCTGACATTACAGCTATAAATAACACAAAAATGCAGACAAAATAAGCCTGTCAAGAGCAAAATAATAGAATGATGTATGGAATCGCTATCCCTGAAGTAGTTAAAGCTCACCTTACACTTACTAGGTACAAACCTTAGTCAGTGTCTAAACCATACTCGGTGGTGACATGCATAGACAGGAGCAGTCAAGCTGGAAGCACAAATTACATGTAAACTGTCCATAGCTGAATCTGTCTTCCTGTTTCATAGGATGTAATCCTTCTTTCCTGCATATAAAGCATATAGCTGGTGCAGAATGACACAGTGAGCAGTACAATTAGATATGGTGCTATGACAATAAAGTCAATGAAAAGAAAAGAGGCCATTGAACCTGGACTAATGGCTTTCTTTGCAGCATGGAACAGCCACTTGCTGAGTGTTTGATCAATACCACGGATAATCCGATTTGAGACTGTGGTAGAGACTGTCATTATAGTCAAGTGATTAGTGCTAAAAAATTACAGTACTGCAATCCAATACCTTATTTTCTTTCCTTCTAGCATCTGTTAATTGAACATAACAAGCTAACGCTACCAGTATTCTTGGATGCATTTTCTTTCTATGTGATGTTGCATAGAGTTATGAGCAAATAGAAGACAAATTAAAGTATAACTAAAGGCAACACTTTTTTTTTCTTTCGGTTTAGATAGAGTGGAGAGGGACTAGTCTTTGTCTCCATTGGAAAGATTAACCCTCTCTATTTCTCCTGTTTACCATTATCACTGAAAGCAAACATAAAAGAAGATTCTAAATTTTGGGTTGCCCCCAAAACAGGAACAGACAGAAAGTTTTCCAATGGGGACACAAGAACCATTAATTCGTTCACTCTGGAGGGATTTCCTTTCACTTCTAGCTTTGGCTATGGGACAGGAAGTGAAGAGAAATCTCCCCAATGGGACACAGATGTTGAAAAAAAAAAAAAACTGACAGGGGTTATAACTCACCCCATACTCTCTCCAGGCTGAAAAAAGGTTTTCCTATAGTTTTGTTTTAACCACCTCCCGCCCGCCATATAGTAATGTGACAGGCGCAAGGTGGTTCTCTCGTTCTGGGAGGACGTCATATGATGTCCTCCCAGTCTCACTGCGCATGCGCGGCTCAGGGAGCGCGCAGCGTGGCTATCGGCGATGCGCTGTGTCCCTTGGACACAGCGGATCACCGAGCACGGAAAGAGCCGAAGATGTCGGCTCTCAGTCATATGATCAGCTGTGTCCAATCACAGCTGATCACATGTAAACAGGGAAATGCCGTTTCGGCACATGTCGAGCTTCACGCTGACAGCTCGAGAGGAGAGGAGAGCCGGTAATCGGCTTTCCGTGGAGGGGACATGTACACTGATCATCAGGGCACTGATGATCAGTGTGCCCTGATGATCAATGTAGCCCCAGCAGTGCCACCTGTCAGTGTCCATCAGTGCTTTATGTCAGTGCCCATCAGTGCCACATATCAGTGCCCACCTGAGCTGCCTTTCAGTGTCACCCATCAGTGCCAGTCAGTGCCTCCTACCAATGCCAATCAGTGCCACCTATCAGTGCTGCCAATCAGTGCCACCTATCAGTGCCAGTCAGTGCTGCCTATCAGTGTGCATCAGTGCCGCCTATCAGTGCCAGTCAGTGCCGCCTATTAGTGCCAGTCAGTGCCGCCTATTAGTGCCAGTCAGTGCCGCCTATCAGTGCCATATATCAGTGCCATGTATCAGTGCTGCCTTTCAGTGCCCATCAGTGATGCCTGTCAATGCCCATTAGTGCCACCTACCAGTGCCTCCTCATCAGTGCCCATCAGTGCCACCTATCAGTGTCCATCAGTGCAGCCTATCAGTGCCCATCAGTGCAGCCTCATTAGCGCACATTAGTGAAGGAGAAAAATCACTTATTTACAAAATGTTATAACAAAAACTAAGAAAAAACATTTTTTTTTTTCAAAATTTTCAGTGGTTTTTTTGGTTTGTTTAAGAAAAAATAAAAATCCCAGAGGTGATTAAATACCACCAAAATAAAGCTCTATCTGTCACAAAAAAATGATAAAAATTTCATATGGGTACAGTGTTGCATGACCGCGCAATTGTCATTCAAAGTGTGACAGCGCTGAAAGCTGGAAATTGGCCTGAGCAGGAAGGGGGTATAAGCGGCCTGTAGGCTAGTGGTTAAAGTTAAATTCTCATTAGTTACTACAGGAATTGACATAAAAAGTATGCACAGTAAACTAATTCTCAAAAGATTGCAGCACAAGGCTTGTTCCTTTCCTGTATCCTAATGAGTGAGTTATCTATTTTAGTTTCTTTAACAAGAGGTTTATTGGCAGTTTTCACATTGAGCAAAATGACTTAGTTGTTCAAATACAAATGGAATGTATTAGATTGAATTCTAATGAGGACTGAATGCACAAGAACAGTCCACAATAAAGCATACAACAGTAACAGCACTGAAGGATAAATATGGCTGCTTGAGTAAAATTGCAAAGTCGGTTGAAAACTGCCTAAGCACAGAAGACAGAATAACCAAGTGATTGGGAGGGGGAAATAGTGGAAAAGGAAGATAAGATGATCAGAAGAGGGAAAGGAAGGAAAAAAAAAAAGGAAGAAGAAGGGAAAAAGAGGAGGGGGTTAGGTTGCAAAGGTTGCGATGCATTGAGAACTAAATAGTTAAGAGTAGTAATCAAATCTAGATGCGTGGGCCTATGAAATCCAAGGTTGCCAGACCTGGAGGAATTTATCATGCAAGGCCATTAATATAGCTGCCAATTTTACATTAACCATAATATTGTTTATTTGGTTCTTCACCACCTCGAATGGGGACCTCCAGTCCCTAGCTATATATAGTTACATAGTTAGTCTGGCTGCAAAAAAGACAAAAGTCCAAAAAAAAAAAAAAGTTATCCTATACCCACAGTTGATCCAGAGGAAGGCAAAAAAACCCCAGCAAAGCATGATCCAATTTGCTCCTGCTGGGAAAAAAATTCCTTCCTGATCCCCCGAGAGGCAGTCAGATATTCCCTGGATCAACTTTATCTATAAATGTTAGTATCCAGTTATATTCTGTGTATCCCAGAAAGAATCCAGGCCTTTTTTAAAAGCAATCCACTGAGCTGGCCAGAAGCAACTCTTGAGGGAGTCTTTTCCACATTTCCACAGCTCTCACTGTGAAGAAACCTTTCCGTGTTTGGAGATTAAATTTCTTCTCCTCCAGACATAAAGAGTGCCCCCTTGTCCTCTGTGATGACCTCAGGGTGAATAACTCTACACCAAGTTCACTATATGAACCACTGATGTATTTATACATGTTGATCATATCCCCCCTTATGTATTATACATGGAGATCATATCCCCCCCATATTTATGTATTATACATGGAGATCATATCTCCCCTTATGTATTTTATGTATCATATCCCCCCACATGGAGATCATATCCCCCCTTATGTATTATACATGGAGATCATATCCCCCCTTATGTATTATACATGGAGATCATATCCCCCCTTAATCTACTCTTCTCAAGAGAATAAATTCAGTTCCTCTAATCTATAGTAAGCATAGTTGTAAAAATATCTCTTTTAGTTTAACTTGTAAATGTACGTGTTTAAACTCATGCCTGCACAACACTCAGTACTATATGCTGTATTCACAACTGATTACAGATCTAAATCACATAGTATGTGTTTTCATCCTACTGTTTTTCATAAAAATAAATGATGCGCTATGCCCTGGCAGCTATAAAACTGTTCAACAGACATCATTTACCCAATATGTTTGTATGCTGATTCTTCTGCGTATAATGGAATACTGACTGCCTCCTTCACTTAACCTAAACAATTCAAAACTATACAGAAGCTGAGCATAGCACATAAAGCATATTAGGTTTGATTAAAGTGGAAGTAAATTCTTTTGTTTAACTTATACCTGCAGGTGCGCCTATAATAACGCTTACCTGTAGGTACAGTAAATATCTGCTAAACCTGTGCGGTTTAGGAGATATTCATACTGCATGCAGCCAGTGTGGTCAGTGTGGCATACCTGTGCCATCCCTACAGAGCTCTGTGCTATGCCTGAACCTCCCGTGCACAAGTGTGGAGTGACATCATCGCGGCTCGGCCAGTCAGATGGCCGGAGCATGCACCTGAAAGGAAGTCCAGGTGAAGATGGAATCCCTGTCAGCAGTGACAGCCCGCCGCTGGTGGACTTCGTTTTAAGGTAAAGTACTTCATAATGTGCTAATATTCAATGCATACTAGCACATTATGCCATTGTCTTGCAGGCTTACCCACTTGCCTACTGGGCACTTTTACCCCCTTCCTGCTCAGGCCAATTTGCAGGTTTCATTGCTGTCACATTTTGAATGACAATTGCGCAGTCATGCAACACTGTACCCATATGAAATTTTTATAATTTCTTTTCACACAAAGATAGTTTTCTTTTGGTAGTATTTAATCACCAGTGGGTGTTTAATTTTTTGCTAAACAAATGAAAAATACAGAAAATTTTAAAAAAAAGTTTTTCTTAGTTTCTAATATCAAATTTTCCAAACAGGCATTTTTTGTCCTTCACTGATGCGATGAGGCTGCACTGATGGGCACTGATAGACTGCACTAATGGGCACTGATAGGCAACACTGATGAGATGTTGCTGATAGGCAGCACTGATGGTCACTGATACGCTGCACTGATGAGGTGGCAATGGTGGGCATTGATGAGGAGGCACTGATGAGGCTACGCTGATATGCAGCACTGATGGTCACTGACAGGTGACAATTATGGGTACTAATAGGCAGCAATGATGGGCCACTGACTGGCGGCACTGATAGGTGGCATTGACTGGCAGCACTGCTGGGCACAGATTGGCAGCACTGCTGGGCACTTTTGGGGCTGTACTTATGATCAGAGCACTGATAATTAATGCTCTGATTATCAGTATAAATATCTCCTTTCAGACTTGCCGATTATCGGCAGTACTTTCCTCACGCTGTGACAGTGTGAAGAACGTACTGCCGATAACAGGCAAGTGTATTTACATGGTGATCAGCTGTGATTGGACACAGTTGATCACCTAGTATAAGGCCACTATGATTGGCCCTTTACCTGGTTATGTGATCAGCTGCGTCCAAAGGACACAGCAATCACAGAGCGCACCGGGTGCACGGGGGGGGGCGTGTTCTAGGAGGATGTCATATGATGCCCTCCCAGAACTGGACGACTGCACTGTTGCAGTCATTCAGCTACAGTGCTGACGGGAAAAGGTTAAATAAAAGGCCCGCAGTTTACTGCCACTTTAAGTATTCAGGAACCTGATAATAACCAAGTTACTCTGTATAATAATGAATGGGACTGCCTGACAAAAATAGTTTGGATACATTTTTTCCATTACATAGCAATACATAACATAAAAATAAATAAAAATATGTACACAGGTATAGTGTGCATGTATGTATAGTTTTTATACTAACAGTTTCCTAATTTTGGGGGACAGTGATTTTTGTATGACTAGCAAAGTTTTGGTCCTGCAGCAACTGTCTATTCCAAGTGCCAGTAAGTTTTAATTTACAAATGATTAATAATAAAAGAAGCAAGTACAGATGAGCAAGCTGACCTGTGTAAATCCACTTCCATGGCAGACCTGCTGGTGTAGGAGTTTAACATATGGCACAAAGAACTGCTGTTTGCTGTAATAACCAATTGAGTGTTCAGTGCTCTCAGTGCAAAAAGAAAGATTGGTTTATACAGCCCTATCCTATACTTTTACTTTGATTTTGCTTGTAAAAATAAGTATAACATAACATGATTTCTCCCAACTCAGGATTGGATTCTCACACTTACCCATTTTTTAAGGGTTAGTTCACCTTTAATGGCCATTTTCCTCATGCATCCCAGCATCCCCATCGCATTGCATGCCACTCCTCCACCAATATACAAATAGTTGCTCCTGTCCTTAAAGTGATTGTAAATGCATTTTTTAACTAACAAACAGGTTTAACGTACCACCTCTGTGCAATGGAACTGCACAGAGCAGCCCCAAACCTCCTCTTTCTGGGTCCCCTGCCAGCACTCCTAGCTCCCCCTCTCCAGTGAGTACCCATATAGGAAAATAGAAATTATATGGTGCTGCACTAATAAATGAATATATTCCTTAATCAAAAAATCATAAAACCAAAAAACAACAGGACATTTCACAAAAAGAACATATAAACTTCAAAAAACATAGACTGCACATCAAAAATCCAAATCAATCATGGATAACAGTGATATGCCCCCAAAATATTAAATCTAAGGTGTAACCTAGGCCGTGCATGTGCACTTGTGCACTCGGGCGTGCGCCTGGCACCAATGACGGTGCAGGGTGCACTATTTAAACTGGTCAGGTGGTGATCAAGTTGCCGTAAGGTCTAGTTCCTGTACCTGTGTTTCTGAAGTGTGTTACTGTTGCCGATCCTGCTTGTCCTGATTTGTGTTGACCTTCTCCTGCTCTGACCCCCGGCTCATCCCTGACTACTCTTCTGCCTGTTGTTATATTACTATTGGACCTCCCGTTGCTGAACCTTGGCTCGTGACCCGGCTGCTCTCCGTCTACTGCTTGGTACCTACCTGCCTCCACCGTTACCGACCCGGCTAGTCTGATTACGCTCATTCCTGACTGTCATCCATCCATCCCGCTCGGGACCTGGACTTGTCAGCCTCTTCACATCAGGCTCAGCCCCGGAACATACCCTCAGCGGGACCCCTCTACCATAGTTGGGTGCACTCAGGGGTTGCGACCTGGTTTCAGTCTTGCACAAAGTCCATCCCCACCATCAGGGGCTCTGGTGAAAAGGCAGACTGGGACTTAGACTCCGCGTCCTGGGGAATCCCGTTCTGTGGATCACTAGAG